GTTTATGTATATGTTTTTAAACGATAAGGGGGTAATGTGTCTTTTCGCGAAACCATAGGGGGGTTCCGTGTATTTTACCCTATTTTCCTTTCTTTTATTTCTTTTTCTCTTTCTTCTTTATTTAATTCTTCCTCTTTCCCACAAAAATCTTCACCTTAATGATTGAAATTAAAAAAAGAGGAATTGCAGAGATCTATCCTCTCCTTAAATGATTAAAAAATATTCAAATCACTTTCCTAAAATACAATTTTTTTAGCCTTTCAATTCTTTTAACTTTGGGTTTTCCTCTTTCCTTTCTAGTTTCTCATTTTATTCCCAAGAAAATATCTTAAGATGAAATTGTGACCTGATTAATAATCATCAATTGAAATTTGTGACACGTGGCATCATACAAAAAATCAAAATTAGTTTTTGATACCCTTTCAATTCTTTTAACTTTGGGTTTTCCTCTTTCCTTTCTAGTTTCTCATTTTATTCCCAAGAAAATATCTTAAGATGAAATTGTGACCTGATTAATAATCATCAATTGAAATTTGTGACACGTGGCATCATACAAAAAATCAAAATTAGTTTTTGATACCTTTTAAACCTTCACCCAGAAATATGCAATTACAAACTCAAAACAAAAATTTTCATTGAAATGGAATTTCTATTGGGAAGGATGAAAGAGAGAAGAAAGAGAAAAAGAAATAAAAGAAAGGAAAACAATTTCATCTTATGATATTTTCTTGAGAATAAAATGAGAAACTAGAAAGGAAAGAGGAAAACCCAAAATTAAAAGAATTGAAAGGCTAAAAAAATTGTATTTTAGGAAAGTGATTTGAATATTTTTTTAATCATTTAAGGAGAAGATAGATCTCTGCAATTCCTCTTTTTTAATTTCAATCATTAAGGTGAAAATTTTTGTGGGAAAGAGAAAGAATTAAATAAAGAAGAAAGAGAAAAAGAAATAAAAGAAAGGAAAACAAGGTAAATGAAAATTCAAAATAATGCAAGGGCAATTTTGTCCTAAAGGGGGTTAAGTGAGCAAAATTAAAGGTTAGGGGGTAAACTGAGAAATGGGATATTCTTTAAGGGGATAAAATGTGATCAACCCAATTTTTTAGCATTAAATGATATCTACACATTTTCACTTCTCACGTCGTTTGTCGTTTGGTTGCAACTTCTTTACTTTTTCACAAAAGCATTGATAAAAAAAAAACCGTTTTTTTCTTAACAACACTTATTATCATTATCATTTTTAAAAGATACAACAAATCTCGGTACTTTAGAATGTAAGTGCAAGTTATCTTAGTTTTTGTTATTTCAATTATGTCCTTATTAATTGATGATTGAAGTTTCATATTATACTCTTTTTAATTTTTTATGACTATTGAAATTCATTTTGTCACACCTTCATCTTTTAAAATCAAGTCGCTGTCTGGCTTCTTCTTTTTAATTTCCATCCTTTTGCTTTCTGGTGTTCTTTCCTTCTTGACAATTAATTCTTCATTTTCCGGCAGTTTCTTTCTTCTGAGGATCCACTATCGTGGGTCATGAGTGAAAAAGGAATCGCGATAAGCAAAAGAGTACAAAAGAGAGAGAGCACAAAACCCTATAAAATAATTCCAAAGTCCAAATGTATCTAAAACTAAAAACACTTGAGATATTTTTTTTTTTTGGGAAGCATAACACTCGAGATTTTAAAGAACACACAAATGTCTTGTAAAATCAAAATTCCTAAAGTTTAGGATTATGATAAAATGATAATGTTAGAATACTTCATACTTTAGTATATTAATTGAACCATTCCATCTAATTAGTGGTTAAAAAATAGGGAACTTATAAAACACGAGCAGCACATTGCAATTAGTGGGGAACTTTTGTCACTTTGTTAATGAAAAATAGCATGGCAGACTAAATAGGACTTTAGGAAAATTAAGTGAATTTGATGCTATTTGTTGGCAAACTTCTTGGAAACTGAAGAAGAATGGAAAAAAGAAATGTCTTAAAAAAAGTTAAACACAACTAATGCTCACATTCTTAAATCTTTTGGGCTAGTATTAAAAATACTTTAGTAGGTGACCATGAGATTTTTCCTGTTTTTCGTACTAACTTTAATCACATGCCAAATAAAATGTTGCTTTTTAAAGAACATACCATTGCAGGTGAAAAATACTGCCACAAACTCGATTTGTCAAGTGACAAGATCATTACTTCAGAAAAGGGTATGCTGATTTTTGCCTCTATCTTCCGCACTTTTCAGAAAGAAAAAAAAAAGCATAATCATTTATATGAGCTGCCATTGACAGAAAAAAAAAAAAAGAGTATATCCCTGTAACAGGATAAACCAAAAAAAGAGTATAATCACTTATTTGTGCTTTATGATTATCCTATTTGTACTAGTGCTCTATTTTTTTTTTTTTTTACACTTTTCCTGTTTTTTCTTTTGACAATGCCATTCTTGATAATCCCCAAAAATACTATCCTCTTCCAGTTTGTCTTATTTTTCTCACATTGTATTTTTTTTTTCTAGTTTCTGGTTGCTTTTAAGAAATAAAGATATTGATTAGAATTTTATTAAGGTCCTTGAAATCACAAATGCACTCAAAAATTTGTGGAGCTTATCAACTTACAAATATTGGTAAGACTAAAAACTGCTTAGACTCTATATACTTAGAAAATAATGGCCAACAATATTAAATTATTAATGTGTACCCCTAAAATACAAAGTAAAAAAATGACAAGATATCGTAGGTAACTTTTGACTCTCTTTAGTTGGCCTGATTTATCATTGCAAACCCTCATGGCAAATATTAACCCAAAATTACAGTAGTTTAAAAAAATGCTCATTCACACACACAGAGACACATACACAAAAGGCGTATAAATATAAACAATCTTCCCTTCTTTGTTTATTTACTTTTGCACCGTGCAATGGCTGCTCCTTCAGTCCTTTATCCGTTCGAAGAACCCACAATCAATTGAATAACCCTGAAGCGTGAAGACCCCCACTGACTAAAAAAGTCTTCCTGATAACTTCTACATTTTTGCATTTTGGCTTCTTTTGTAAGGCAGCTTCGTCTTTCAAACTCAAGTCGCTGTTTGGCTTCTTTTTTAAATTTCCATCCTTTTGCTTTAGTTTTTTCTTCCCTTTTGGACGATTATGGCTTCATTTTCCCTCCAATTTCTTTCTCCTGAATTAGTGATTACAATTATATTTTCTAGCATTTCATCCTTAACTTTTTCACACGTCTTTGACAATTCTTTTGTAGCAATGGTATCAAGATGACAAACACTTACAGAAAAATTAAAGAATATGGTATTAGTTGTCGTAGGATTCCAGTAACATGAGTAATTGACTTTCAAGTTATGACTAGCAACAAATTTCACCGGTGAATTTTAAATATTTAACTAAGGTAACTATTTTGATATAGAAATCTGAAAAAATAAGGTAATAACTCAATCAATTGAACTACTACTTTTTAGCCTATCACTCCAAAATATATTTAGGAAAAGCCAATAAAAAAATTCCTTTTATTTTTTTAGTTGGGATTGCATGGATAGAATATTACTTAGAAAAAATTTTGTATAATTCACTGTAGCATGTTTTGTAGTGTAATGTATTTAAGTAATTCTAAAATATGTTTAAGAGCAATTAAAAAATAAATATTCTTTTAGAGTCATCACAATGATATGTAACACAAGTGTCCCACAAATTAGCTATCATTGCATAAGTAAATCAGTAAAGAACAGATTCACATGTGAATATGTCTGGAAACAGTGTTTTGAAAACCAGACTGGACCGGCCGGTTCGACCGATTGGACCGCAAATCGGTCATGGTTTCGATCCGATTCTATGCTATAGTTGATCAGGTTAGAAAACCGGTCAAAAACTGGTTAAACCGTGAAAACCGCCGGACCGGATTGAACTGGCGGTTTCCGGTTTTCGAGATTTTCCCTTTTTTTTTTTTTTTTTTTTTTACATTTTGCAAAATGCAGCTATCAAGATTCGAACTCAAGACCTTTGTAATAAAAGACCAATGTAGTAACCATTGCACCATCACATCTTATTAGTTTTTTTTTATAACTTATTTATATAAAACAAAAACTCATATTTCTTTTTTTCATTTTTTTTACAAAATCTAATCATCTCATGGTTCTTTCTTTTTAATCTTCAACACACACCACACACACACACACTCTCTCTCTCTCTCTCTCTCTCTCCTCTTTTTTTTGTCACTCACTTTTTAATCAAACCACTTTATTTTTAATTTATTGATGTTTTCTTCTATCTTTTAATTTTATTTTTGTCCATTAAATTGAAAAAGGTTAAAAAAGAATTATTTTTCTTTAACCCAAATTATTTAATGCCACAACCACTCACTTTTATCTCATTTTTTATTTCTTATCAAGTTTGCATTTCTATTTTCGATTCTCCTGACTTCTTTCGAACTCCAAAATTCCTTTTTTAAATTGCAATCTCTAAATCCCAAAACGTAAATTAAAATTTAAGTTCACAAAATCTAAATTCTCATAGACATGAATTTTGTATAATTTTAAAATATTATGATATTTTTGGGTTAGATCTAAGATTTTTTTGGTAGATATAATTGAAATTGAAATGAAATTTATTTGTTTTAACTTATAATTTAAAATTTTTATTTTTAAAAAATCAAGTTATTCAAAAATAATAAACTTTTCATCATATAATGTATTAAATTAGTCCATTACATGTCTTATTTTATGCATAAATATTTATATAAATATTTTTTTTTTAAATTCATTGAACCGAGGTTAAATCGGTCCGATCGATTGAACCTCGACTCTTTCACGTCACCGGTTTAATTAACGGTCCGATTTTTAAAACATTGTCCGGAAGTCTTTGCAGAATCAAAGCCTTGTAAGTTCTGCCCCACACCTTTCATATTCATACATCTGAACGCGGTTTTGATTTGTTGACCAATGGTTCTGAACCACAGATTATTAAAGTTCATAGTATACTACGAACCCAGGACCGACTCTAATTTCTTCCTTCTCTGTACAAGGTCAAGGACCCTCTCTTCCTTTCCTGACATTCTCAAGTTAAAGAAAAAGACTGAAAATGGCAGAAACAGTTCTCTCTTTTGTGTTAGATCAGCTGTCAATTTTTCTGCGTGAAGAGGGCAGATTATTGGGAGGGCTTCGCCACGAGGTTCAACTCATCAGCGATGAGTTGGGGCACATGAGAGCATTCCTGAGAGTGGCAGAAACAAAGGAAGAAGATGCAGATCCCAGGCTGCAAGAATGGATCAAGCAAGTACGAGAAGCCGCTTATGACACTGAAGATGTTCTTGATGAATTCGTAGCTCGCTTTGCTCACCATCATGCAACAGGGTTCTATGGCTCTGTTAGGAAAATTTTCAACTCCGTGAAGACTTTGCGAGCTCGTCGTAAGGTTGCTGAGCAAATACAGAGCATCAAGGCCAGAGTAAAGAATATATCTGAAGGGCATCAGAGATACCAATCAGAATTCGGCGGTGCTACCCAAGCGGCGGAGTCTCTTGCTACTGTTAACAACACAACATGGCGCTATAGCAGGGATGATGCACTTCTCGTGGAAGAAGCTGAACTAGTTGGCATTGACCACCCCAAACAACAGCTAATTTCTCAACTACTCGAGAGGGATGATTCCCAGCTCAAAGTTGTCTCTGTGGTTGGCATGGGAGGACTCGGTAAAACTACCTTAGTCAAAAAAGTCCACGAAGATTTAGGTATTAGAAGGCATTTCCCGGTTCGTGCCTTTGTAACTGTCTCTCAACCATGCAACTTCCAGGAGCTCCTGAAAGACTTGACTCGGCAGTTACACAATGATTTGAAGAAACCAGTTCCAGAATCGATTGAGACAATGACTGCAATTCAGCTGAAACAATGTGTTAAAGATTTTCTTCAACAAGCTGGAAGGTATGCAATTGTGTTTGATGATGTATGGGATGTGGAATTCTGGAATGCGATTAGATTTGCACTGCCCGAAAATGGCTATGGCAATCGCGTCATGCTAACAACACGAAAAGCCGATGTAGCCTCTGCATCTTGCAACAAATCTCAAGATTATGTCTACAAAATGGTGCCCCTCTCTTTCGAGGATTCATGGACCCTATTTTGCAACAAGATCTTCAAAGGAAATGGTTGTCCTGCCCATCTAACAGATGTTGCAAAAGGTATATTGGGGAAATGTCAGGGATTGCCCCTTGCGATTCTTGCAATCAGTGGGCTTTTGGCTTTGAAAGACTTGAATATTGCAGAGGAATGGGAGATAGTTCGACGCAGCCTAGTGGGTGAATTAGAAGGCTCTGGTATGCTGGACAGGGTCAAAAAGATACTTTCTCTCAGTTACAATGATCTACCCTCCCATCTTAAGTCCTGTTTGTTGTATTTAAGCATTTATCCAGAGGATTTTGAAATACCTTGTGGTAGACTTGTTCAATTATGGTCAGCTGAAAGATTTGTGGGTAAGAGAGAAGGAATGACTGTGGAAGATGTAGGCTACAATTACCTCAGAGAACTGGTCAATAGGAGCCTAATTCAAGTGACCCAAATTTTTTATGAAGGAATCCCCTACGCTTGTCGAATCCATGATCTAGTGCGAGAAATTGTTCTTTCCAAGGCAAGGGAACAAAATATGATCGCAATTACTACTGGACAATACACAAAGTGGTGGTCTGAGAAGGTACGCCGTTTGGTAGTCCATAGTAGCAGCAACAACACCGAGCAGCACCAAGAAAGCCAATGTTATAGCTTTAACCACCTTCGATCCTTTATTACGATTGAATCCATGAATCCACTAATATCCAGAACCTTGTTATCTGAAGTTTTGAAGAGTAGCAGATTGTTAAAGGTTTTGGATTTGAGTGATGAAGAGACATTGGAGAAAATCCCAAATGAGGTTTTCAACTTGTATCATCTCAGCATCTGAACCTATGTAGGACAGGGTTAAAGCAGTCCCGAATTTCATAGGAAAGCTACGAAATTTGGAGAATTTGGATTTGCGTGAAACTCAAGTCAAGGAATTACCCGTTGAAATCCTGAAGCTACAAAAGCTTGAGCATCTTGTGGTATACCAAAAAGTTGATGTTTCTGATACAACTTATGGATATCATGGATTTAAAGCTCCATCAAAATTGGGAGGGCTTCTTGCCCTTCAATCATTAACAACCATAGATGCGAGTAGCGGATCCGTAGTAGTTAAAGAGATAGGAGCATTGACTCAATTAAGACGATTAGGGATTTCAAATCTGAGAAGAGAGGATGGAAAGGTGCTCTGCTCCTCCCTTGCCACCCTCACGAGTCTTCGGCAACTAAACATTGCTTCAATTAGAAATGATGGTGGTGATTATGAGGTAATGGATCTGAATCATTCTCTTTCATCTTCAATGCGTTCTTCATTTCTCCAATCTCTTCGTATGCTAGTATTGCGTGGCCGCTTAGAAATGATGCCGCAATGGATAGCTCATCTTCAAAGTTTGGCAAGAATAGATTTGTATTGGAGCGGTTTAAGGGATGAGGAGGATCCGCTTGCACCCCTCCACCATTTGCCAAATTTGGTTACTATTCAATTTTGTGGATCTTACCAAGGAGAGAGGGTTGTGTTTCAAGGCTGGAGGATTCCTAAAGCTGAAGGATTTGTACCTAAAGAAATTAGAAAGTTGAGATGGATGGAAGTGGAGAAGGGTGCATTGCCCAGTCTCCAAGAACTTAGTCTGGATACACTTCCATTGCTGGAGGAGTTACCTTTGGATATTCAACACTTAAGCTGTCTCCGAAAGCTGGGTTTGTATGAGTTGGGTTCTCAACTGATGGAGAAGCTAGAGAATCTAAATGAAGAGACTGAAGATTATAGAAAAATTGCACACATTTCTGAAGTTGTCATTGAATTGTGGACCGATGAGGGATGGAAACGTTGCCGGCTATGGGGGAAGAAGATGTAAATATTCCTCTCTTAGTAGCCCTGCCTTCCTATTTCTTTTTATTTACTTTTTGCACTTTTGTTTGTAACTTCTAAGTTTATAATTTGCGTTATCTTTTATCTTATTGTATAAATATTGTATTGCATAATCTTGTTTATATGCGGTATTACAAACACAAATACTTCTCGACATTCTTTGGGATTGTCAAAGACCAAGGCGTAGGATAAGTTGTTTTTATAACAAACTAACGTGTCGGAAGTGGAAGAGTCCTTGAACAACACAGAGAAAAGGAAAGCTCAGGTCTAGTAATTATGGCCTCGGATTAATAATTTTCAAGTTTCAGGAAAGAATTGTGAGTACTCTAGAAACATATAGGCTAAAATTTTGTGCGGCTATTCTTTGCTTAGTCCTAAATCAATTCATTCCATAGATGCAATTCGTGCCAGTGATTATTGGTGCAACTGGTGGACAAGAAATCTTTGATCCGATAGAGCTCAAATTACTTCAATTACTGAAGGAATCTTTGATCCGATAGAGCTTAAACTTTCATGCAGCTTTTGATGAAAAGCCATAAAACAGTCTTTTTCCACGCTGCAAAAGACATACACCTAAAGGAAAAAGATTACAAGACATGACAAAGCATATCAGATGATGCTAATAGGAGATTTAGATGTACAGTCTGCCCCTCCCCGCAAACTATGCACAAGGCCACCACTTAAATCACAGTATCACCAAGTAGAAAGCAAATGATTGCTGGTATCAATTACCAAAACTAAGCTAAATGTTGACGTGCCATTTGAAGCTGCATCTGTGTGTGTGTGTGTGCAGAACTATCAAAATGACGTATTTACAAGTCATGTAACTTGTAATGATGCCTACAACTATCAAAATTACGTATTTATATCATATCTAATAAGTTTGTTTGGACAACATATTATTTGACCAAATATATTTACTTACGTCATCATCACAATTTCCAATACACCTTTTTATCTTTTCAATTATCTTTTTATCTCACATACATTACATCACAAAAAGTGCTACAGTAAAAATATCTCAAATAATTTACAATCCAAACAAATTTCCTGCATCCTCTGCATCATAGGATGCTTTTCCCTGCAAATTCCTAGAAAGTTCTATGCAAACATAGGATGCTTTTCCAGGAACACTTTCCGAGAAAAATTCTATGCAAACAACTCAAAGGGAAGAAGGTCAACCTAATACCAGGAAGGATTCACACGATTCAGATACTGCCGCATCATGGTTCTGATTCATGTGTCTCTATCCTTCAAGTTGACTAAACCAGTATGTAATTGTTCTTGTGAGGACTCGAGTGTCGTTCAAAGAAATTGTCTCAAGACCTTGAGCAACAGCATCTACAGGCCTGAACTCCAAAATTCCTTCAGCAAGCTGAAGTAACATCCATTTGAGACAGTTTGAGGATTAGAGAACGACCAGAAGACAGAAAGAGCAACAAAGCCATTTCACCAGTTGACAGATAAATGTCGGAGATATAGACATGTTCAGCCACAAAGGTGGCAGGATTTGTTTTCCAGGTTGGATAGGCATCATCATGTAAGAGGCTTGTCACCTGATTAAAAACAGCTGGCAACCGATCAACAAACATGTTGACTGAAACTGCCACTTCCAGATCGTAATTTGGAATCATGGTTCCAGCAGTATCAAGTAGTACTTTCCATACATCTGCTGTGTATTAGTATCAATGAAAGGAGAAGGCATTAGAATTAGAAAGATAACATAAGCAATTATTCAACCTCATCAGCTATATGTCTTCAATAAAATGAAGCATAGTATCATACCTATGAAAAAAATCCAAAATTGATTTTAAAACCATTACTAGGATATTTTCATTACTACTTGAAGGCTTGCCTTGGTTTACAGAGATACCTTACATTTGGTAATTGTGAAACTTGGGGAGGATTTAATAAAAGTTTTCAAAAATAATAATTTCAAGGTCTTGAATTGATTTCTGTTTCTTGTAAATCATAAAAAATGAAAGGACAAGTTAATTATATGTCACTCTTGTGCTCGGCCTTGTTTGGATTGTTGTTTTCCGTTGAAAAATTACGTCGTTTTCCGTGATCACATTTCCCTATTACCTTTTTTCCTCACATACATCAAATCGTTACAGTATTTTTTCCATGAAAAATCATGGAAAATGCAATCCAAACATGAAATATAGCCTGCCATAGTTTGCAGGAAAATATCTCTGTATTCCCTAAGACCCTAAAAACAATATTCTACTCCCTCAACACAAAATAGAAGAACGATGTTTTACATGATCTAAAGCCTGACATCAAAACACTTCATGCATTAAGTTTCTCTTCTTGATAAAGCCCAGTTTTCAAGCACCAATCTGCATCACAGTGTTATAAAAGCTTTATGCACGATTAGCTTGATCAAGGATTAAATGAATACACTACTTGCTTCAGTGTCCATCACACTCATATCTTCAGGAATAAATGAGAAACAACATTATGTGGGTTATGCGAGGAGGACTCGTAGATTACAGCCTAGCATGTGCAGACTCCCAATCTTCCCCCTCCCCCCCCCCCCCCCCCCCAACACAGTCGGGGTGGTGGGAAGCTTCTATGGTTCAGGAAAATAATTGGATTGCAATTTTGTGCAAAAAATTTTTTTTTACATTTTCCATGAACACATTCCCAATCACCTTTTACCTCACATACATCAAATCGCTACAGTACATTTTCCTACAAAAATTTCTAAAATTAGCAACAAACAGGGTAACACAAGGAATTAACTGTTAATAAACATTTTGCAAAATTAAGAAAAAAACCAAATGCAAGAGTACAAATCCGAATATAGCTAATGATTCTTTTTCTTTTTCTTTTATTTAGTTTTGTACAAGCCAAAAAAATTACTTTTTGTTGTTACTGCTACACTTGCTATCTACATTGAAAATGCACGTATTAACATTTGAAAGTTGCAATGAAGTACACTCTCTGCAAATGTCAAATAACGTCTCTTTTTTTTTTAGTGTAAGTGGAAGGGTTCGAATCCAGAATTTCTCACTTACTCTCCCTCTTCTTGAACCACCCAACCCATCCCTCACCTCCCCTCCCCCCCCCTCCCCGTCCCTCCAAAAATCAAAATAATGTCTCATTTTCCGTTTAATGCAGATATTGTTGTGGCCTCTTTCAAAGCATTAAAATGGAATCAAGACTAAAGAGCACTTGTATGCCTGGGTAATCTTGCGTATGTTTCAAGGCCACAGAAAATAACATTTGCAAGAAGATTCTCTTTTAGCATATCTATAAGGAAATCAAGGGTAGAGACACTTCACCAAACTATAGTTCCAAATAATTGGTCTTCAGGAACCAAAAGAGTTGCACAGGACAGGGAATTAGTATAAGATTAAATCAAACTGGTGGTACCTATTCAAATTTTGTCCAATACGGTAGAGGTACTCATCCTCCATTACATTAACAGAAGGTTTTTTTCCCAATAGAAGAGAAAATGAAAAAGGCAAATAAACATTGTCAAGAATGTCACAACATTCACATGAATTACTCAATTAAGTGCAGATAGAAAACTACACAACCATGTTGACTGCGGATTGTCGATTTGTGGATAACAAAGTTGGTACCTACAACTAGAAGCTTTGATTTGGCTACAAATTCATGACATCCACACATTAGTAGCTCCACAAGTATTTGTGTCCACACAATTTGTAGGATACAATTTCTACAGCATGCCTTGCTAGTTTCCGAAAAGCCCAAGACTTACCCCTCATTCTAGTGCTATCTATGACCGTCACTAGAGCGTTTCTATATAAACCACCTTATAGGTAACCAGTTGTCCGCTCTGTTGTTTAACACCCTTATACAGAACTTAGCCCTAAAAAGTTAGACTAACTCAGAAAATAGTACTAAACTATTACTGCAATTTACAATAGAGAAATAAAACAGAAACAGGAACATTCCCTACCACCCCATCCCTTCTCGCAGTCCACCAATACTCATTAGTC